CCTGCCGAATTCATATGAATGCACATGTTCTATATATATGTAACCTCTAGAACCCTGTGGCTATAGACATATTAAAAGAAGTGGACTACACAGAAAAAGAACAAAACAGGGCAAAAGTAAGCACAAGTAAGCAGAACAGAGCAGAAAAAAAAAAAAGGAAGGTATAGAATAATGTAAACCAGAAATATATTATGTATATCACATAATGAAGTAAAAGTGATCTACGGTTAGCATGCGTTAGTTCGCATGCATATGCCGCGTCATCCTAATTTCACATATTGTGTAATAAAGCATCCACATATAACTCCCTGTCGTGCATAGTACGCTCCAGCTCGCACTGTTCTATGACTAATGCCAGGATCAGTATCCATATTTTAGCGCCTAATGATTTTTTCATGTACAGTTGCGGATGCAGTGGTTGGGACTCTGGTAAATCTCTCACTCTTAGTGTGTCTTCTGTTCCCATTACAGTTTCCACTTCTACGTGTGTTTCCACTGCAGGTACTTCGCCTTTGTGCGATACTGCCGCCTCCTGTACATTAGTCAACCAATGCTGAAACCACTCCTCCTTATACATACGCATTTGCCGATGTTGTTGCGCGACCCAGTGTTTCCATAACCACAGTTTGTGCTTCTCTGTGGATGGGATGTTAGCGTGCTCACCTAATTCACGGTGCCCGTTGTCTTCGTTTGTCGCCATGTGCGCACGCAGGTATTGTTTCCATTCCGCTTTGAGGGTGTGAAACCACGCTTGATCCTTACATTGCCGTAGTATACTTTTGTTACTTTCCATCCAAGGGATCCAATCGGTATGCCAGTCGTGGGCCGAGTTCGCCTCCCTGTGGTTGGAATGAGCATTCTGTGCTGCATCTAACTGTATGGATTCCATACAACTCCATGGATCGGGGTTATCTTCGTGAGGTGGGGAAGGGTCCTGGTCTAACTGTATAGTTTCCATACAACGCCATGGATCGGGGTCATGTGGTGGACATGGATCTATGCCTTCGAAGTCAGTGGGTGGAGCGCGGGTTGTTGAATCGTGGGTTGCTAAAGCGGCGTGCGAGTTAGGAACACCCAAGCTGTTGTTATTCGTGTCCTCGTCCTGTTCGAAGTCACCCGCAAACTCCTGCGCAAACTCCTCCACGACAATGTGCAAATAGTCGTCTTTGACGTTGTCCCATTCGGTCACTTCACATTCGTTGAGCACTTGTAAGTGTAGTTCGATGATGGTGCGCTTATGCACGCGTGGGGGGCGGCCTCTACCGGATGTTGACGCAGGTTGCCTATGCCGAATCATCGTGTACCCGTAATCGGGTGGCGGCAGGTCGCCGCGTTG